AACAAAAATTAAAAAAAAAAAGAATTAAGTGCTTTTGCTTCATAACTTATTGATTTCCTAATTTCTACAGTAAATGTGTAATTTCTTTAAGTTAATAATACAAATAGTATATGATTTTATCTTTTTTTTTTTTTTGGTACCAGGGATTGAACTCACAACCACACACTTGCAAGGCAGACGCTTATGCCACTGAGCTAAATCCTCAGCCCAGTATATGATTTTATCAAGGAATACATATAATCAAGAATTGAGATATGTATTAAGCTTTTAAAAGCAGTTTATATCTCTGTGCAAAAAATAAAATGAGCACCTTCGGTCAAAAACAGTTTCTCACTTTAGGAAGACTTTATCCTTCCACTTGATATTTTATAATGATACTCAGAAGTGCTTCAACAATTACTTCTGATCAGAGGGTTGCAGCCAACCATCATTTTTCTCCTGTATACCTTTAATAATATTGTTTACTTTGTAAAGCAATGAGTCTGTATTCCTTTCAAACTCATTAAGAGATAGTTTTGCATTGCTATTGTGATCCAAGTCTTATTTCTTTGGGCTAAGGATTTAGCTCAGCAGCATAAGCAACTGCCTGGCAAGCATGAGGTTGTGAGTTTGATCCCGGGTACAAAAAAGTCTTACTTGTCTTTAGCTTTGTTTTTATTTATTTATTTTAAAATTTTTACTTATTTTTTGTACTGGGAATCAAACTTATTATCTTATGCTTGCCAGGCAGGTGCTTATGCCACCAAGCTAAATCCCTGGCCCAGTTTTGTTTTTAATTACCAATAATTGCACATACTTATGGGGTATGACTTGATGTTTTGATACATAGTGATCAAATCAGGGTTTTAGCATATTCATTACTTCAAACACTTAACATCTTGTTGGAATGAGAACATTTCAAAGAACCAAAATTCAAAATAACCATTTTGGTTATTTGTGACATATATAGTGCATTATTTTTTACTCTATTCATCTACTCTGCAAAACACCAGAACTTTTCGATTCCTGGTACCAAAAAAAACAAAAAAAACAAAAAAACACCAGAACTTTTATTTTTTAGACTGTAATTTTCTACCAGTTGACCAAGCTCTTATTTTTAAACATAAAATATTAAGGTGATCTAATACAGATGAAAAATTGATTTGAAATTGGCATGTAGTTAATACAGTTTAAACGGGGTTGAGAAAATAAGGCCAGTGAGCAACATCTATTTCCCTGTCAGGGTATCACTTAGCCCACCAGACTAATGTTTAGGGTCAAAATAATTAGATGTTAGCTTGGACTTCACCTTCAACCTGTCATCCCCCCTCCCAAGTTAGTTTCTCTATTTATCCTGCTTTTGTAATTCAAAGTAAACTTTTAATGCAGTATTTCACAAGAAACTCTATATGGGTTATCCTGTTGCATTGGATATATAGTAACCTTAGGTAAACTTTTCATTCATTGATTTGTAAGTACACAGACATGTACTTATTATTTTATTATTTATTTTTTGGTAACGAGAATTGAACTCATGACCTCATGCTGGCCAAGCAGGCACTTATGCCGCTGAGCTAAATCCCCGGCCACATTTAATTATTATGAACTAGCTGGCTCAGGACAAAAATGACAGATACACAAAGGTGTCGTTTTTCTTGACTCAACAAAGGGTACAACAAATACCCTCTAACAAAACATGTAGAACTCCTTAAACAGTGTGCAGTTCTTGGTTTTTCCATTCATAAATGAAGGGGGGAGTGGAGAATAGCACTGGCTTGGAGATCTGCACTGGCTCATGGTGAGTACGGGGAGCTCAGGCCTTCCGCAGGAGTGGGCAATTGACCGAGTGATGTTTTGGAGTTGGGCAGGACAAGCTTGGCTCCTGAACAGTGGCTTCAGTCAGCCACTCCTAGCACAGAGCAGAATGGTGAGAATTGCTTGGACTGAGTCTCGTCCCTGTGCGTGATCCAATAGGCTTCCCTGAAGCTTTTGGTAACTGGCCCTGTCTGGGCCACACACACTAACATGGTGAAAGCTACCAGTGGTTGACCAGCCTGCCCCGCCCCTGCTTATACTCCAGTAGTCATCCGCAGATTAAGAAAAAGCAGCAATCCCTAGCCATCATGGTTCAGAGTAATCGTAACCAGTACAGGAAGTGCCGGGGACCTCCACTATCCACTTGTCTGGAAGAAAGCAGAAACATGACAAGAGGAAGAAACAAAAGGCAGCCTCCAGCCTCCAATCCAAACAGTACTGGCCCAAGAGAGGTAAACACAGAAGAGATCAGGAGTTCCACACCTGCAATATCTAAGCAGCAGCATCTGACATAAATACCTTTGTGACATTATGAAAGAACTCAAAACAGAAATACTAATACAAATAAAGGCAGATATAAGAAAAATAATAAGAGAAATGCTAAGCACCTCTCAAGAAGACATAGATGGAAGAAAGGAGGAGCAGAGAAAAAGGAAACTTTTGATGAATATAAAAAAAATCTAGAATACATGAAACAGATTCAGAGACTACCAGGAAATTAAAAACTCCATTGAAAGCCAGGCGTGGTGGCTCACGCCTGTAATCCCAGCACTTAGGAGGCCGAGGCAGGAGGATCCTTGTGAGTTTGAGACCAGCCTGGGCTACAAAATGACCTCAAGGCTAGCCTGAACTGCATAGAGAGACCCTGTCTGAAACAAACAAACAAACAAAACAACAAAAAAACTCCATTGGAAGCTGGCAAAACTGCTCCAAAGAAACTAAAGATAGACTATCAAACCCTGAAGACAGGTTTGCAATGTGTGATCACAAAAGGAGAGATCTCTTGAAAATAACAAGAAACCAGGAAGTAACAATACAAAGGCTAGAAGATGACAAGAGGATTTATAACTTAATAAAAAATGTGAGTGAAGAAGCAGAGGTAAACACAAATGAAATACAAAGGCTATTTACAGAAATCATTAAAGAAAACTTCCCAAGCATAGGAAAAGGAAATGATGTATGAGGCATACAGAACTCCAGCCAGGCCTGGGGGTTTAGCTCAGCGGCATAAGTGCCTGCCTTGAAAGCAGGCAGTCCTGAGTTCGATCCCTGGTACCGATAAAGACGAAAAAGACCAAAAAAAAAAAAAAAAAACAAAAAAAAAAAACAGAACTCCAGCCAGCTATAACCAAAATAGATCTACACCCAGACATATAATAATCAAGATCCTAGAAATTCAACACTAGAACAGAATATTAAAAGCTGTCAGAGAAAAGAAACAGATTACCCATCAGAATCAGAGCAGATTTCTCGACACAAACCATCAAATCAAGAGCTTGGAGCGAAGTATTCCAGGCCCTGAAAGAAAATAACCTTCAACCCAGATTGATGTACCCTGAAAAACCATCTCTCAAAACTAATGTAGAAAGAAGATGCTTCCATGACAAAAAGCAACTGAGGTAATTCGTGATTATCAATCTAACTTTACAAAAAATACTGAAGGACATTCTAGAGAGAAAAGACCATGGTTTCAGGAACAGCAGCAGAGGGGCTCACTGAACAGGGCAGACAGTGGAATGAAGGGGAAAGTAGACAACCAACGGCACAAAAATAGCATGGCAGAGATGAGGCAGAGAAGGTTGACCATCATCACTAACATGGATGGCCTCAATACACTAATAAGAAACAACACAGGCAGAGTGGATCAGGAGATAAGGTCCATTAAGATGCTCTATATAAGAAATATAACTAACCTGAAAGAGGGTTTATAGACTAAAAGTCAAAGATGAGAAAATAATGCTCTATGTGGCAGGGAACCAGAAAAAAGTGGGGGGTAGCTCACCCATCAGCTGCAGATTGGTTGGAAAGACATAACACTTTTGTACAATGGAGAACTACTCAGCTATGAGGAAGGAAAACCTTGAGGTCTTGTAGGTGAATGGATACAACTTGAGATCAAGCTTAGGGATAAAAAAGATTCAGAACTACTTAGGTATCAGGTTGCCTCCCTCATCTAAAAACTAAAGGAGTTAGTGAGATACAAAATGTACAATGTACCTGGCAAAGTGAAAGGGGAGGAACTGTCTAAAAAGGGAAGGCAGAGGACATTGTTAATCTTGCATCATGATTTGAAACCCATATTGTTTTCATCGTTCTGTTTAGTTTGGTTTTATTCTGTTTCAGTTTGTCTACTTGTATTAGATTTGATGGCATGGACAGCTATTCCAAAGATAGCAGGATATATTATGGTAACCATTTATATCCCATGAACTTAATTTGAATCCCTGTATTGCTTTGTCTTTTGACTGATTTTAATGTTTAGTTCGATCGCTGTCTTGGCTGATTTTATTCAAATCTGTTATGTTTGACAGTATCAAATTTGAGAGTATAGGTAACTACTCTGAAGACAGTAAGATTCACTATGATACCCATTCTGGTTTATTACCCTTTTGAAGTCCTATAATGTCCAATGTTTTATTTTTATTGATTTTGTTCTGTACTATGTTCAATTTTATTGTGCCTTATTAAAATGGCAATTCTATTGAAGATAAGAAGACATCATGGTAACCATTGTAGATCACCTTGTATTGTGGTTTTAAATCATGCACTATGTCCATCCTTTTGTTTTGAATGACCCCATTTTGTTTTTTCTCATTTGGTTCTATTCTTTAAAGAAAAAAAAAAAAAAAACGAAGAGATGCATGTGATCACTTAAACATTTATATTTGGTTTGAAAATGCACTGGTTTCCCTCTTGGGAGCTCTTACACCATAGCCATTTGCTTCTTTTATAAATGCCGACATTTCTAACTAGATACCAATTCATAGCAAGTGAAAAATTTCAAGAACAAACTAAACTCATATATGAAATAACCTATACAGAGAATAAGATATAATCCAATCTTGTGAAGTTGAAGGGCAACAGGATTTGAGTTTGTGGGTTTAAAAAACCAATTGGAAAATTTATGAATACCAATTGTAGGCAACTAGTGGAAAAAGGGAACTTTATCATATCCAGAAATTAATAAAACACTTGAAAAACCAATATAAATTTAATAGTAAACATTATGGTCAGGCTGTTTATTAAGGAGGCAACCACATATACAAGTTCAGCTATAGAAATGTTTGCAAATCAAACTTAATGTGATCTAAAAGGACCATGTGTAATGTCAAAAGTGGAACCTGTACAGTCAATAAAAAGTCAATTTAAACATACATAGTCTAGATCATTCTAGAATTATACAAACATCTGGGGCCATATATGTATCTAATTTTCTTTCAAAAAGCTTTTCTTAAAATATAAAAAGTGATGTATTGAGATAATTTTAAAAAGTACCTGACAGTTATGAATGGTCCCCAGTTTATAACATGTGACTTGCAGGGTATGAAAACTGAGAAAAGTTAACTCTCCAGAGTGTTTTATACAAACAAGCTTTGTAGAAAAATGATCGAGCAAGTGCTTGAGTTAAGAATATTTATATTTCTCCAATTCTTTACACTTTTATTAACACACTTACAAAAAATAACATTCAAACACTGAAAAAATTAAATAACTTTGGAAGCAGAATTTGTAGCTGTCTGCTTACATATAAGTGACAATTCTGGGCTGTTGGCACAAAATAATCAACATTCATAAAACCCTTACTACTATATATCAAACAGAAGTTAAAATCATAGGCACTAGTTTATCAAATCCACATTTCTTCTGCAAGACTAACCACAGTAAATCCTTGGATTTTCCCAAACAGAAAAACTGGCAATACACAAAGGCTTTCTAGTAAAAAGGCAATTTTTCTCTTTAGGAAACTAAAAGCCAATCATCTGTGGTAGTATAACAGCAGGTAAAATAATATTTACCAAACTAAGATCCAAATACATTTTTAACAAGTAATGAAATATTTTAATTAAAAAAAATAGACATTTTTTAACGCCGCCATTTAAAAACAAAGTCAAATAACCTGAATAATCCTTTTGAAACTGATTATCTAACCTAAAAATGTAATGCATGTTCCATAAGAGTTAAAATTCCTTTTATTAGATTGCAGCATATATATTTGCAATGGTGCATGGAAAGCTGAGACCTGTTTTGTTTTGTGTATATGTGGCTCTAAAAAGAGACAGTGGCTAGTCTTATAGACTAGTCTTAGGACTAGTCTTAAGTTGTATGGACTTAAGATTTACATGGAATACTCCTCCACCAAAGCAGATGTTTTCTCTATCTTCCTCTGAAAAGCAACATTTTTTAGCTCATCATCGTGTAGAATTTCTGGTGCCATCCTTCCCAGACCCACCTTATCACCTTTACATTTAAGGATACAGTATCTTTCTTGCATTATTCACCAAATACACAGTACTGGTGGTTTAAATCTGCAGCTGCTTGCCCTAACTGAATGCCTCCTAACAGGTCAAGCCAGTAACGCTGCCCCCCCCCCCCGTCAGTCACGGCACAACGGGGGTCTTGGTCTCATCACTCTCTCAGTCTATCTCCCTCGATGCTGTCCTCAGTAGTGCATCTTCCATTTCCCTCTCAGTTTCTTTTGCCAACTTACAGAATGTCTTTGATTAACAGAAAGGAAAAGAAATGCTTTGAACTCTCAAATCTTTTAGGTGACCCAACTGCCAGTATGATAGTGGCCAAACTAAGTATTTAAACGCAGACCTCACAATGAAAAATAAAAAGCCTGCTACAGTAGAAAGTTTTAGTTTGGTAATAATCTAAAAAAATCAAAACAAGTGATTTCAAGGACATGTGTGTGTGTGTGTGTGTGTGTGTGTGTGTGTGTAAGAGCCAATAAAGACCAAGTTAGAATTAAATGTAGTAGGTTACCAAAAATATAAAAATTGATGTAAGGCAGAATCAAAAGGGACAGTATTTTCAGATTGTATACAGTTACTCAGTTCAAAGTGGATCAACTTAAGTAGACTTGGCAGGCTGTATTTTCCTACCACATAAATAGACCGTTACGCCACTTAGTAGCAACAATACAACTGTCATCACCAGAGATTTCTGTAGGTTAAGTGCATAGATTTTTTTGCCCTCTCTCTCTCACTGTATGGTTTTGCTCCAGGTTGTAAGCACTGAGGTGTTGTATCAGAGTAAAGACACTACTTGCTCTGTCCCACCCTGGAAACCTGCTATTAGAAACTAGATCTCCCAGTTCTGTGATGGGTAACAGCATGTAAAGAAGTTGGCTTCGATAGCAAAGGCCATCTTTCCTGAGCCAGGGACTATAAAGTTGAAAAGATTGTACAACTGACATCAAGCCCTTTTGGCAATCAAAACAAACACACAGAAGTCTGATGTGTCGGTGTGACACGATGGATGCACACTGTAACGTTATCTGGTGGTGGTGATGTGAGCTGTGTCCAAAACGGAAGATTAAATAAAATGCTGATTTTCCCAGTGAATATGTGAAAGCAATTTACAGAATTCTCTTAAATGTAGACGGCCTGTTCTAAATCTCTAGCCCAGGTTTTTTCCTCCCATTGTCCCAAATTTAATCTATAATTTCCTGGAATACTAGAGAAACACTTTAGATAATTAGTCAGAATATTAGTTCTCATTAATACAGTATTTATTGATACTATTTATACAGTAAATTAGGTTGAATGTGAAGTTTTGGGTAGCCTGAATTCACCCATTTTCTTGTGTACAAAGGTATTTTCTCATTTACAAGTGGGCATTTTTCTTTGGCATCCATTGGGTATTTGCCCAGATATTGGCCTCTGTCAAATATTAAAAAATCAACTGACTTTCTCTTAAACAAAACTAAAAGTGATTCCATGGAGAGTGATTGTATGATTACCAAACACATCTGATGTTAAATGTCATTAAAGTGCTGCTTGATCATCTCTGTCGATTTGTGCTAATTAGGACAGAGAGGGCTGGGATTTTACAAATCCCAGGAGTCTTATCTGAACAGTCTGCATATATAAAAGTTGTTTTTAGTCTGGTGAAGGGGTATCCATGAAGCTGCGGACCTCTGCATTGCTGGTCCTCTTGTCTTTGCTGGTCAGTAACAGCCATCTTTCCAACTGTCATCTTTTATGCTGCCATAGGTTTTAGGAGCTGGCAAGGATCTGAAATAAAGCAATTTTATTATGGTTTGCATGCCTTTACAAAACACTACCATATCATTTCATACTGCATCATGATTGCCTGAGGATTGTTTCAGGGAATTACTGAGACCAAAGCTCTGCACAGCTATTTGTACAGTTTCCTGCAGCATTTTCACTTCAAGCTGCGCCGTGTACCAGCTGAACCGCTCACCCTTCTCTGCTGATAGCTACTAGACTAACAGAAAAGGCTGCTTCATTTTTCCATCCACATGGCTTCTCTCTATCATTTTGAGATGCAGAACAATGAATGTGACACTACAGGCTGTGTCACCATCTCTAGAGAGGCAGAATGTGACCCTGGCTAAAAGATCTTTAAAGTCAGACATATCTGGAATTGAAGATCTTATTAGATGTGTGGCCTTAGGCAAATTATTTAATCCATTAAATTTTAATCTCCTGTAAAAAATAAGAATATACACTCACATTGTGAAATTAAACAAAGTACAAGTTACTTAGTGCTGTACAGAGCAAAAAGTCAATGCACCCTGGTATTGAATATGGAAATACAAAATGTATTAGAAATAAGGACATACTGTTAATTCCATTTAAGTAGTTACAGGATAAAAGCATGCTTCAAGTATATATATGTATATATATTTAAAATTTCATTAGAGTTGACACTAAATTTGTTTATTGTAATCCCATTGTTAAAAGGTAAAAAAATATGGAGGAATAATTCCCAACCTGGCTGGGATTAGAATCACTTGAAATTAAACATACAGAGAAAAAAAACACATACAGATTTTGGGCCTCATATATTATCAGTTAAGTTAGACTTCCAGGGAATAAAATTTAGTTTTCTCTATGTTTATAAAACTTGTACAAGGGAGGGGAAAAAAAAAAAAAAAAGAGGGGGTGGAGGGGGGTATAGCTCCTAGCAGCATGGTGCCTGCCTGGAACCGGGAGGTCCTGAGTCTGAGTCCTAGTTAAAAAAAAAAAATTGCACAAGTGAAAATTGCACAATGTGAAAACCACGCTTTCAAAGTCTACTTACACAAAGATTCTACTTAGACTTGACAAGTAGATATCATTCTAATATGTTCTTATTACTTTATTTTATTGAATACTATTACATTAAAAATGAACTAATTAACCACAATCAAAGTGAGTGGTTCTAACAATTTTTTCTAGAAGTCCTCCAAGATGCTTTAGCATGTTAGGCATCTGGACAAACTAATGTGAACCAAACTAGTACAACACACCAAATGAAGATTTCTTTCAAACAATGAAGTAATGTTTTATCCAAATTATACTCAGACTCTTGTGGGAACCCACTATGGTTCTTTACACTCACTACCTGATGTATAGACCAGACTAATTCCAGTCCACCCACCGCTATGCTCAAGAATAGGCCGTTTTCCACTTACCTGCGAACAGGCTGTGCAAGTTTGCTGCGAGGCACTGGGATGCCCCCAGCAGAAGGGGCGCTAGGTCTGGGCAAGCCGCTTCGCACGGCCACTGTCCCTGCAGGTCTTGTTAACGTCGTGCTGTTGATGCTGCTGGGAGGGTTTGCTGGGACTGTGTTCTGAACCATGGGAGGCCCAGGTGAGGAGGTGATTTGTGTGAACTGTGCTGTTTCTTGGCAACCAGGAGAACCAGAGCCATGGTTACTAAATGCTTTCATTGGTTGCCGAAGAGCCAAAGGAGATGGTGCTGCTGGGGTGCGGAATTTGCCTGGAGAAGGTACTGTGGAACGGCAAAGAAAAACCATGGTTTTGAGTGGGAATCAAGCATAAGTAAAATCAAGCTTTATTTTACTGTTTTTGGGCACCAGGAATTAAACTCAGAACCTTGTGCTTGCCAAGCAGGTGCTGTGCCACTGAGTTATACCCTGGCCCTTATTTTACACTTCACGACTGGACACTAATAGGCCTGAGTCCATGAATCTTGACTCTGTGGAATGCAAGGAATCAATAATATTTCTGGGTTAACAAAAGAAAAGAGTCCTAAATAGCCAAATCCTTACTCAGACGTTACAATCATCCTTGAAAAACTTGTTTTAATTAGGCTAGCTTAGAACCCACAAAACTAGAAAAGACACTACAGTACTGTACCTCACTCTATCAACCTGTGCCAGCTAAGACTGTTTTGGTGGTAGGGAGAAAAAAAAAAACCTAACTAGATTGTTATTTAGAATTTCAAATAGATTTCTACCCCCCCATTCATATAAACATGTACTAAGTATCTCGTGGATATATCTCCAAAGTCCTTTACCATAATACAACTAAAACTTAGAAATTAAGAAATATTATTTTAAAAAATATGTACCTGCTGGGTATGGTGGCACATGCCTGTAATCCCAGTACTTGAGAGGCTGAGACAGGAGAATGGCTGTAAATTTGAGGTTGGCCTGGGCTAAGCAGGAAGTTCAAGGCTAGTCTGAACTATATAGCTAAACCCTGTCTCAAAAAGGGAAAAAAATAAAAGCTTCCATACCTGTGTCTCAAAAAGCAGGGACATATCAAGAGATGTAGGCTGAGGATTTATCTCAGTGGCATAAGTAAAAGGTCTGGCAAGTAACAAGGCCTGGCAAGTAACAAGGTCCTAAGTTTGATTCCCAATACAAAAAAAAGGTCTAAGAATTAAAAACGGTTTTTCTGGAATGTCAACTCTACTAAGTAGTATAGTTCTGTATTAAAACAAATACTGATACTTGCAAGAATAAAACAAAATCTGCATTAATTTCTGAGCCACAATAAGGCTTTGAGATTCATGGGTCATCTTGAGTAAGTTCAAATCTGGGTTGCATATGCATCCTTCTCTGTTTATTCATGTGAGATGAATCACCTCTGAAAGGGCACCAATTTAGTTTCCTCTAATACTCACACATAGCTACACACTTTGTAAATAATATCTTAACATGTCTCACCTAAAAGACCTGTGGTTAGGGGTAAGAGAGAATGGAAGGGAAAGAGGAGACAGAGGGGAGAGATACAAAGTGTGGCTTTATTTTCACTCATCCTCCGCTAGTTGGAAGAGGACTGAGTGCAGGGAAAGCCTGGGCCACAGAAATGGGTTGTTCCATACAGTCTCATCTTTCTCATTCCTGTCAATCCAGCTACTAGACAACAGTGATGGCAAGGTCTACCATTTCCCTGGGTAAGGGGCAAAAAGATAACATAATTTTGGCCACTATTTTCATCCAGTCTCTGGGAGAAAGAAGAGACAAGGGTGAACCTTAGTTTGAAAACTCCAAAGACAAGAAATCAACTCATACCCCCTTTCCAATAATCTCTTGCCGTTAAGGTGATCTTGCAATGTTCCAATTCAAGTACTAAACTGTCAACATGGGGCTGGGGATTTAGCTCATCGGCATAAACGCCTGCCTTGCAAGCAGGCAGTCGTGAGTTTGATCCCCAGTACCAATAAAAAGGAAAAAGAGAAAAGAAAAAAAAAAAACAAAAACAAAACAAAAAAAACTCAGTACACTGTCAACAGCATTATACTGAATATATTCTAGGGTCCACTACTTAAAGTGATCAATTACTTCTGTTTGCCTCTAAGACGTTTATAGTCATGATTCTTAAACTTTATCATGCATCAGAATCCCAAGGAGCTTTTTTTAAAATCAGTACCGGAGCTCGAACTCATGACTGCCGTCCTGCAAGACAGGTGCTTATGCTGCTGAGCTAAATCCCCAGCCCCCAAGGAGCTTTTAAAAATACTGTACATGGGATTCTAAATACTAATTCCAGAGAAACTAGTCTGAAATGGAACTTAAACATGTATTTATTTAAAAACTATCACAAGATCTTCTAGCCATAATAGGGAAATTGGGAAGGACATACTCTCCTGCTAACAGTACCTACAAAACTGGGCAAAATATGTGATAAAAAACACCTTTTAAATACTGAACAAGAGGAAATATAGGATTCAGGCTCCATAATCTATTGGGCTGTTTTTGCATGGATATATTTTCTAGAATGTAGATCAGGAGGGATCTCTTGGTCAGATCAAAGTTTATCTTGTTGAGTGGAAAAAACAAAAACTGGAATTTCAGGAGCAAAGTACTTTAGAACAGACAGAGCTACTCAAGATTTTCAGAACCCTGCTTAGGGATCTGCGTTAATCTTTGGCTGACTACTAAGTTGGGAATGCACAGTACAAAGGCCCACAATGAAGGGACAAACCACTTGAGCACTGCAAACTAAACAGCTTCAAAGCTCACATAAAAGTACTGGACATTTGAGTTTCAATCAGCTACAGTAAAGAGTCCTTGCCAAATATCTGAGACACTCCAAAAGGGTCAAGCTAAATAAGGGGTTATAGTAGCCCTGAATAAAGGATACTCTACACTTGGTCTGACAAAGCTTAAAAACAAAAACAGGAACCCTGCCAATAGACAACCTGCCATTTTTGGTAAATAAAGTTTTATTACAACCCAGAAACATTCATTCACTTATATATTTTCAGTTTTACTATCTAAAAGATAACACTATCTATCACAGAGCAATGAAAAATGTCATAATGTCCACTATTCAATAAATACTAAATATGTGAAGAATCTGCAAAACAACAGACACCAACAGATAAATTAGGTCAACAGAATCAGACCAGAGAGTAATGGGGTAACTGAGTTAGCAAGGACTCTGTAAGAGCTACTATCTGCGTTCTAGGATATTTTAAGAAATAATACAATGAGGTAAGAAACAAAGTAATTTTTAAAAACTGAATGGAAATTTTAAAGATGAAGAATTTATAATATATACCCAATGCTAAGTTCACTAGGTGGGAATTAACAGGTGATTAGATGCTGTCGAAGCAAGAACACCTGCAACAGGAAGTGTATGTACTAGAAGCCGGTGAAGAGGTTCAATCAGATGAGGCCAGCCTAGCATTCGTGAGGACCAGGGTCTGCTCCCAAGTGCCATAACCAACCAGCAACCAGCAAACCAACCAACCAACAAAAGAATGGTCCAAACTAAAGCACACAGAGGATGGAGGGAAGACTCAGAAAACAACAGGATGAAGCCTCAGTGAGCTGGGTCCCGCAGTATGTGACCTAGTACATGCAACTGAGTCTCATTTTGGGGGATCTATCTGTGATAAGTGGGACAAGTGGAAAAAAAACATTTGAAAGAACAACACCTTAAAGCTTTCCAATATGAGTAGGAGTGGCGAAACACCTAAAAGTCCAGAGCTTAGGATGATTACCATGAGTTAGTTAAGGCCAGCTGGAGTTACATAGTACTGTGTTGAAAGGAAGGGAAAGGACGGAAGAGGAGGAGAGGGGAGGGGAGGGGAGGGGAGGGGGAAAAAGAGAGAAACAAAAAGAAAAAAGAAAAAGCAGAAAAAAGGAGAACATTTTCAACATGATGAAAACTAAGCTTACCTATCTAAGCGGCTAAAAAAAACTTCAAACAGGGCAAAACAAAGCAGGAATATCATCATCAAATTTCAGAAGGAAAACACTAAGTATTTTACATATTAAAAGATCTCCTTAAAAAAGAAATAAATAAAATATCACACACTTCTCAACAGAAATAGTATAAGCCAAATGGCAATAAAATAATAGTTTCACCAAAGTACTTAAAAAGTCTGGCAATATAGAATTCTACATTCAGACAAGTTACCTTTCAAAACTAAAGTTGTCAGTAGTTTTTCACTAAAAGAAATACTTTAAGTAGAAGGAAAATGATACCAGATAGTAACTCTAATCTGAATAATGCAATAAACCATGCTAGGAATAGTAAAAATGTTGGGAAACATTAAAAGGGCTTTAAATAATCACTTTATTTATTTACTTACTTACTTAATTTATGCAGTACTGGGGATCCAACCCAGGGTCTTCTGTATGCTAGGCAAATGAGCTACCACTGAACTACATCCCCAGGTCCCTCCAAAAAAACAAATCACTTTTAAATTTTATAAAAGATTGACTATTTAAAACATGAGTTAACAAAAACATACTCTGGGGATATCTATCAAACAAAAGAACATAGATGCAAAAGTCCTTAACAAACATTAGAGACTCAAATCCAACAATACACAAAAAGCCTTTAGGATCCCCAAGTAAAGATTATCCTAGTGATTCAAAGTTTGTTAACTGAGGGGATACAGGATTAGTATACTGTCTGAAAAATACTAGTCAATGTAATGTCATACATTTACAAACCAAAGAAAACTATACAATCTTATCAAGAGATGCAAAAACCTAAAATATAATATGCATTCAAGATTTTAAAAAGAAAAACTCCTAAACCAGCTAGGGATAAAAGAGGGCTTCCTCAGTAAAATAAAGGGCATCTATGAAAAACCCAGTATCACATGTAATGGTTTAAAAAGCTGAATGCTTTTATCCTAAAATGAAGACAAAGTAGTCGTATATTCTCACCACTTCTATTTAACATTTTACTGAATGTTTGGTCAGCACTATACACATTCGCTCTATCCTGCACATATATTTCAAAAGGAGGAGTAAAACTGTTTATACCGACAGATCACATGACTGCATACTTACACAAATGAAAGTAACAGCATCTGACCTAACTGGTGAATTTAGCAAGAATATCAGGATACAAGGTTAAAAATGGTACCATTAACAATATGGTATGATAATGTGAAATGCTGAGGGATAAATTTAACAAAATATGTTCTCATTCCATATACTTAAAATTATAAAACTGACAAGTTAAATAAAAAAGGAGAGGATATGTATGTTTGGGAATCATAAAAATCAACATTGT